TCTCTCTCTCAAAATAAATGAACTTTAAAAAAAGTATAAATAAAAATAAAATAGAAGAGTCAAATTCATAGAGATAAGAAGTACATTTGAAGTTACCAGCGTTGTGTGGGGTGAGAAAGTTAATGCTTAATGGGTTCAGTGTTTCCATTTGGGTGATGAAAAATACTGGAAATAGATAGTGATGGTGGTTGCACAACATTGTGAATGCAGTTAATGCCACTTAGTTTTATATTTTAAAATGGTTAAATGGGATACAGTCATAAAATGTCCATACTGCGGAGGTTGAGAAACCTTGATATAGAGTGTGTCAGCCTTGATTTGTAGTTTACCCTTTCATAGATGAGTTTACCCTTTCATTTGTGTTCACACCCATATGTTTTGTTCTGTTCAAAAGAATGTCTTGCTTGATTAAAAACTCACATCTTATTTGATGCTTTGGATTCTGTCTCCCTCTCTTTCTACCCCTCTCCCTCTCATTCTCTGTCTCTCTGTTTCTGTCTCTCTCAAAAATAATAAACATTAAAGAAAACTGAAAAACAAACTCGTATCTTATTTGACATTTTTATCCAGTTTGTACTTTGAAAGTAGTATGTCTTTACAGACGTCGCTATCATTACAAATGTAGTGAATCAGTAAAATAATTAAAATGTAAAATAAATCAGTAAAATCAGTAAAATAATATCCAATTATAGGATAAAGACCAGGGTTGGGGGCGCCTGGGTGGCTCAGTCAGTTGAGCGTCCGACTTCAGTTCAGGTCATGATCTCACATTCATGAGTTCGAGCCCCGTGTCGGGCTCTGTGCTGACAGCTCAGAGCCTGGAGCCTGCTTCGGATTCTGGATTCTGTGTCTCTTCCTCTCTCTGCCCCTCCCACGCTCATACTCTGTCTCTCTCTGTCTCTCAATAATAAATAAACGTTAAAAAAAAAAAGACCAGGGTTGCTCTTAATTTCAGCTTGTTTATATAGGTCTTTGGAGCACGCTAAAGTGAATTGGGTTTTTTTGTGTGTTTTTTTTAAATTTTTGGGGCGCCTGGGTGGCGCAGTCGGTTAAGCATCCGACTTCAACCAGGTCACGATCTCGCGGTCCGTGAGTTCGAGCCCCGTGTCAGGCTCTG